ATATTAATCGGTATGGTCCGGTTATTCCTCCTCCGAGGGTTGAGATATACACTTTGGGTACTGATTCTCGGAGAGAAATTGACAGTTTGTTGCTCTTTGGAGTTAGTATTGTCCATAGTTGGTTGTTTTAAAGGGTACAATAATGGAGCATGGTATTGGTGGGCATTTGACTTCGAAAATAAAAAGCGTATGCTTCTTTCATTCGACATGAGTGATGGGTTATTCAAATATACATACCCTTGCCAGAATCTCATCTTGTATTTTAGAGAGCCTTATGAAACCCTTGCTCTCATTCTTTGTCCTGAGAAAAAAGCACAGGCGCAATTGTTTGACATGGGTGATGCATATGAATCTTATGTGAAAGGATCTTGGACGAAGGTCCTCACTCTTGGCCCACTTTTGAGGGTGGAAAAGCCGTTGGTATTTCTCACGAGTGATCAGCTGCTTATGAAGGATTCAAGAGGATCCCATGTTTCACACAACCTCGGCACCAAGCAAATCAAGAAACATCCAGGTCTTCGTGGACGCATACACAAAAGGAAGAAACATTTTTGTTGAAGGCCATGGATATATTAACTTAAAAATTAACTAATTAATTGATTGATGTGATGTTACTAAACCCCTTAATCAATTGTTTTGAAAATTTTCACCTGCTTTCAGGTACCGTTTTAAAAAAATTTTCCACCTGCCAAATAAGTCCAAACAAAAATTGTAAGCGGTGTATATCAATTATTAATTAATTTAAACAGCGAACTTTGGGATGAAATTACAATCTTACCCCTCTTTTCAACAATTAATTACTAATTTGCATAGTAAATTCTTTAGGAATGGTCAAACATTGCGGCCTAAGTCAGTAATCAACACAGCTACTATTCTTTTTGTGATATATTTAATTTCCCTTTTTGGCTGCTACGCTTTGAATAATCAAATATCCTTTTAAATAAAAAAAAAAAAGAAAAAAAAGAAAAGGAAAAAAGAAGAACAGCCTAAACTGCATCTAAGCTGGAGCGGGTTCTTGAAGTTGAAGTCGTACTCGCCGATTTGCTGAGCCACAAAGATGATCGGAAAGACTCATGACTCAGTGGCAATGGCCTGTCCGGTAACCTTGGGATGTCAATGTCACCCTCCAACATCTTCAGAGCATCGGCGATGGTCGGCCGTAGAGCCACCATCACGTGTGCACAAAGAATCCCAACAAGAACAAACCTCTCCATAACCCCTTTTGGCCCTTCATCCTTTATCGATTCTTCAAAAACTCCCTCTACCTTCCCTGATTTCGCAAGCGTCCATGCCCAATCCGTGATCAGAACATATAAAGAATTAGAAGTATCTAGAACTTTCCTGCCGCTCATGGTTTCCAGGATCACGATTCCAAAGCTGTATACATCGCTCTTCTCTGTTAATTGCCCGTACAGGGCATATTCTGGTGCCAAGTACCCATGTGTTCCGGCGACCCTCGTGGTGAGGTGAGATTGGCCTTCCGAATTTTGAACGGCTAATCCGAAGTCTGCAACTTTTGCTTTCATTTCCGAGTCGAGAAGGATGTTGGTTGCCTTGATGTCTCGGTGGTAGATGGCGGGGTTGAGGCCGTAGTGAAGGTAAGCCAAGCCCCTGGCCACATCTAGAATTATGTTCTTCCTCTGAGGCCAAGTTAGCCGCTTTCTTCCGCCGCCGGTACTGAACAGGTGATCGGCGAGGCTTCCGTTTGACATGAAATCATAAACCAGATATCTCCTTCGTCCTTTTAAGACGTCGCTGGAAAGACAACACCCGCGGAGAGACAGAAGGTTTCTGTGCCTTATCTTGCTTATGATCTCCACCTCGTTGGAAAACTCATCGTCCCCTTTGGAGTCGAGATCGAGAATCTGCTTAACGGCAACCAGAGTACCGTCTGCAAGTGTTCCTTTGTAGACTACTCCGGATGCGCCTTGGCCTATCAAGTTCCTTTGAGAGAATCCATTCGTGGCCCTTTCGAGCTCCTGTAAATGGAACCATTTGGCGCCGGCTTGAGGCAACATGCTTGCCCTGAAGTTGCTGACGAACTCCCTGTGCCTGGCATTTCCCCTGTTCTTCCTCTCCCATTTCCTGTACAACACAATCAATGCAAAAGCTAGAATAACACCGATGAGAGCACCAAGGAATCCGAAAACCAGCTTCAACAGACTTTCTCTGCTCAATTTGTTCTCTTGATTATTATTCTTGGTTGCGGAGATATCCAATGGCAATCCGAGTATGCAAGCAGCAGCACCAGGACTTTTGGGACCGAAATCATTGACAACACCAAGTGCATATAAGACGGTGAAGTACCAGCATTTGGTGGAATTTGGATCTATTTGGGTCAATTGAGCAAGCACATCTTTTCCGGCGTCTACACAGGCCCCGCACAGGGTTAGCTTGGCCATGTCATGTTTGCAAGATGTGTCTACTGGGGTCATTGGACCGACCTTCTCGATCCAATCTTTGATTGTAACGATTCCTGCGCAGCTTGAAGTGTTGGTGACAAATTGAGTGGACTCGAAACATTGAGTGACTACAGATGGCGGAATTGACAAGGTGGCAAGCTCGGTCTGGAACTCGGAGAGACAGGCGGAGGAAGCAGCTTCGCTGGGTAGTTGAAACGTGGAGGTGTCTTTAAGGTGTTGCGCCAGTCCGATGCCAAGGAGACTGAGGAGGGTAAGGCAGCAGTGATCTCGGTCTGGTTCTAGGCATTGACTTTTGTCCCAGGGGAAGGTTGGGACATAGCTGAGATCCATTGGACATGACGAATTGAATGAATTGGAAGAGAAGAAGAAGAGGAAGAGAAGGGAAAGGAAGAGAAAGGAGCTTCCCATGCCCATTTCTTGGACTTTGTTTCACCTGTGACTTGCAGACATTAAACTACCTGTGATATAAAGAAACTGAAATATCAAAGTTGGCTGGCGCTGGTCAAAGACACGTTTCTTATCTTCTAACCCCCCCAGTTTTTTTTTTTTTTTTAATTTTTGAGAAATATCTTCTAACCTCAAATTAAGGCAAGTTTGTGGTTTTTATGTTTGAAACGTACCATCAAATTACGTAATACCACTGTTGGTTGGACTGTCAAAGACTACTAACAAAACAATGAGGCAACTAGTATTGAACTACGTGACAGGCAACTGAAAGTCTGTAATAGCGCGATGACTTTTATGGGGATGGTTTCCAGCATGTTAGATGCGTTCGTAATGGGAAATATTAAAAAAAAGTTGCTTTTGGCATTTGAAACTTGCCTAACTAAAAGAAGTCAGACGGAAGATGCATACAGGAACAAACTCAGAAACCATGTAAAATTTTGCCATATGCTTCCAAGATAAAGCCGTGCATTGCAGTTGTGTACAAACAAAATAGTAAATAAGACTGGTATGGTAATCTCTAAGTCCTCATAACTAATTAACATCTAACACATCTCGCAGTTCTTACATAGAAAAATATTATTTTGATGGACTATTGTATTCTCACTTAGAGCCTCTTGGTTTTGGACTCACTTTTTGGAAGCACCATTCCAGAGATCTTGTTAACCTCATAAAGGAGAGCAGCTGAGAACAAGAAACTGCATTGAACAGAAAAGCACAAGAACAATCATCAATATGTAAATTTACGGGATATCCAATGCCAATTTGCAATTCATTGGATCCAGATTGTTATTTTGCAAAATGATTAATGACAATCAATCTATGGTAAGTTGGTAACCGTTTCAAATTTATACCATCGAGTCTTTATGCTTGTAACTCACCTATTGGCTCTATGCTTATCTCCCTTGGTTCTGTTGCATTTTTTAGAAAAAATCGTGAATCATCACATCAGTTAGGCTGAAAACATTTCTCCTTGTTGAGTATTTCAGGGTGTCAAGACCTTTTTATATGGTCATTTTCCCCTCTTTTTTCCTCACATCACTAACAACCACATGCTCCG